TCTTTGTTTTCTTGTTTTAGGCACAAGGATAAATTAGTCAAAAATTATGTACTTTGAGACAGATATGCTTTTTCAGTAATTTTATGTGTAATTCAAAATTTCATGCAGTATTTTTCTCCTGATACTTTTGTTCCTGCTAATGCAGTTTAGATAAAAGTTTTACTTTCAAAAATCATGTTGTTTCCTTTTCAGTGGATTTAGCTGTGGAGCTGTGGATAAGTGCTTTTATTCTTATGAATCTGATGTATTTGAAACCTATTTGTTGGGAGTATAAAATCAATGTGATTCTCAATCTTTTCAGACTCTTTACTATTTGATAGTATTTGAATTTGTAAAGCACTTCCTTCATATAGTATAAAACAGTTCCTTCATATCGTATATATGCAATTTATTTTTTTACAGTCATGTCACTTGTTTGACTATGAACTTAAAGACAAATTTAAGAGCCAGCAGTATTGTATGAGACATAAAGCTCTTTGAGGAACGTTCATCGCTGCACTGCGTAGCCTCTGGTTTTCATAGTTGCCTATGATTTTCAAAATATTACATAAAGTGGGAAAATAATAATAAAACTGTAAACTATATTGTCATTACTTACGATATTTATAAAGAGCTATCACAATACATTTTCAGAGATTATGGCAGAGTTTGATTCGTTACAAAAGTCAAGTGGTAGCACTGAATTGTTTCTGTAGCTCTTAATCTTTTCTTGCTGCTTTGTCAACATGAAAGAACTTGCATGCTATTGCTGAGTCTCTCCTTTTTAAGATCTGACAAAGTGATGTCTTAATTTTCTGCTTTAGTTTGGTCCCATCACTTTTTGTGCCATTTCAGTAGAAAATGTTCATTTATGTTTTTCATTAGACACGTATACATCTACCTCTTAGTATTTCTCCATTTAATATGGAACTAATTTTCCAAAATTATTTTAGACAAGCTAATTATTATCAACAACACAAATTTCCCCAAACATTGTGGTATTTAGCTGGAGTTTGGGGTTAACTTGACTTTTAGTAGGTGACTTTGACTTGAGCTGGGGTAGGTGAATGTCAGCTGTTGGTAACTGAAATGAGATGAACATGGACTTCAGTTGAGGCACAGCTCTTACCAAATTTATAGCAGAACAAGGACGATGTAATTTAAGGGTGTTGGTTTTTTTTGTTACTATTGTAGTCCTGGTGTAGGTTTCTACACAGATACAACCGGGATAAAAATACTGCCGTGTCTCATTGAATTCTTGGCGTAGGTTACACCATTGGGTAGACCCAGACAGGAAAAAGTACACTGCCTCATTATCATCCTTATGTCTTAAATATAGTGCTGTTGTTTCTCAGTGTGGGAGATGGAAATTATGAGGGTGAATGTTTTGGTCCCATTAGCTTCACTTTCTTGTTTTTAGTGCTGATTCTCAACAACCTGCACTTCTTACTGCATTGCAACCCCTTTCAGTAAAAATATGGTACAATCTTTTGAAAGTTAGTATATTGTAAAAATTCTTTTAAATTAACTCTTTTTAAAAGTGAGGCCAAATGTGCCTTAATTTCAGTTCTTGGAATAATTTATGGAGTGCTGACAGGCTAAGAGCAAGTAAAGAGCAGGAGTTCATAGCAGAAACAAGTCATTCACCACCTACCTTCAAGATTATTGTTTTGTTATCATTTATAAAGCTGAGAGGGTGTTTGCATCTACATAATAATGAGGATTTATAGTTTCCAAGTCGTTAAAATATCACAATGACATGAAAATATATTTTTCTAATGGCATTACTGTTACTGAAAATAGCAGGGCTTTTGAGGTTTACTTAAAGAAAGAAATTTGAGTTGGAATGCGTTGATGAAAACTCAGGGATAAAGTAAAATGGTGGTAAAATGAAAGATTCCTTAGTTTACAATAGTTTTCAGAACAGACATGTTGGCATCTCAGCATTTTTTTCAGAAATATGTCTAAACCAATATGATGCACTAGTAATTTTTTTTTGTTTGTCTGTATTTTTTAGCAGCACTAAGTTTAACCACATGAGTAATCGTGTTTTACAAGGTCTGTTCTTTCTGTCTACAAAACATCATTCTTGAAGGGAAAATGTTTTGGCACTGAAACCAACACTTAAATGCATGCCTTGAAAGATGTACATCTTAAAGACATGGTGTAAATAGAATGTAGCTTAGACCATTTCCTCTAAGGTTGTTTATATCTCTATTTGGTTGAGCGTAGGTCTTTGGGACTAAGAGTGGGGAGTACCCTGCAGAAACCGGTATTGCTAGAGTACCCGATTCCCTTCTGCTTAAAGGCTTGAAGAAATGGTTGAAGCCAATTATGTCTCTGTAGACGTTTACTCCAGTTTGTGGTTGAGAGTAGCATTTGCTCCCAGTTTTTTTCCCATTTTAAATTATTTTAATGACCGCCGAATGTGTTGAGTAAAAATTCAGCACAGTAAGACTGTTAGGGTAGTATAGAAAGATTCTCTTTTTCAGGAGTTTGTAAGAGGAAGTGAATATGGCTGAATCATGTCTGTACTCGTAGTTTGCTTTATATTGATTGATGGGTAGCACTGTCCTTCTGAACAACTTTGTTTTATATTAAAAGCAATCATTTATTGATTGAAGTATAGATCAGTAAGTAACAAGACTAATTAGTGCATACGTTTACATTTTCATTTCTGAAGGAATATTACTGTATTAATATTTGGAAGGTGAGAGCTAAAAATAGTTATCGACACACAGTTTGTTACAGAATTGGTTAAAATTACTGTTTCTGTGGCAGATGACTATTTCTAAGTGAAAGAAATCTGTTCTGAATTTTTCTGAGCAGCTAATAAATACTAAATATGTTACTATTAACTTGAATATTGTAATATAGAGCGTGAAGTGCCACTGCAAGCAAAGTAATATCTTTAGAGTCAGGAACTTTTTAGAACACAGATTTCTCACCCGGTAATCTGTAGCTGTAGTTTTAACAGTAGGATATTAAGTGCTTTGTGTGTGGTTCAATATCAGAGTTACTGACTATAAATTGCAGTTGCTCTTTTGGGACATTCTAGCTCTCCTGCATGTAGGAGAGCCTCAGGACTGATCTAAGACCATTAAAGTTTGTCTGAATTTTTCCATTCACTCTGGTCAGTGTGATGGAATTCCTTTTGAAAGTTGGGGTTTTTTGTTGGGGGGTGGGGGGATGTTTTTTGTTTTTTTCTTTTCTTCTAAAGGAAATGTGTGACCATAGGCTTGCCGTGTGTGTGTGATTGCTTAGCTCCTCTGTGCTTCAGTGAGTCCATCTGTAAAACTGAGAGAGTAATTCCGCACAAGGTGTTGGGAAGCTCAGTTACACTTTCTGTAAATCCCTTTCAGAAACCTGGCTGAAAATACAGTGCGAGTGTAAACAATTAGTCGTTTCTCCCGTTTTCATAAATGACCTAATTTCTGGTATGCTATACAAAGAGTACTCGCTGCTTTAGGTGAGTTCAAGTTGAAGGCAGTGTTAAAAGTTTCAAGTTGCATGACAGTAATGACGGAGGCTCTGTGTTTTTAACCATATGCCTTATGTTCCACGTGTCACAGCTAGTTGTTGGAAGGAGATTAAGTGTTTGAGATCAGTGCGAGTTTTGCCATTTATTTCAGTGAGATCAGGACTGAGCTGTAAGGAACCAACATACAGGTCTTTGGAGAGGTGCAGTCTCTGCAGCCAGGTACAGGAGTTTTACGGAAGCCCAGCTTGTTGAATAATTTTGGTTCAACTTGCTTTTCTTATGTTATTTTTATATTATGTTGATTCATAATCTGTTCTTGCTTTAATATCCCTATTGGTTCATTCTGTTGAACCACTTCACCAGTATACAAGTAATTTGTCATTAACAAAAAAAGGGTAATATGAATTAAGTGCCATTATAATTATGCATAGTGTTTGAATTGCTTTCTGCTGTTATAAAATATTTTTCTGCTGCTTAATTCCATCATAATACTTGCAATAATTTGTTTGCACATACATACACGTACACAAACACTTCTTAGAATTGAAGATCGTTACTTAAAAATGACCAAGTTAACGTGATGGTGTAATCACAGGCTGATATAATGCGGAACAAGAAATTAATAGAAGAAAAAAGGAAAGGAGGGCGAGGTAGCAAGAGATAAAATAATCCAGTTAAAAAGGCTGGAAAAAAGCGAAGTGGAGAAGGAGGAATCCTGCGTGAACTTCTCAAACAGCTCTTCTCTTAAGGAAAGGGTGAAATCCTGGTTTAATGAGTTGAGGAAATGGGCAATGCTCTGAAAACAGCTTTTTTATACAAAGCAGAATGTTACGAATCTTCAGATTCCTGTAAGAAGGAGCACTAAGTGCTGTTTCAATGAAAGATAATTATAAACCACTGTATCTGCTACATGCACATTGCAGAGTTTCAGAGGAGAACGTATCTTAATCTCTTTTTACATGATTACTGATTTGTTTTAACACGTGGCTCATGAGTGTATGCATTGTTTCCCTTTCGTTCTATCCTCCGCATGTTGTTCCCTCTTACCCTTTTGGCCATGTCACGTACATCCTTGTGGTTTTAGTGGCATCAGGACTGTGCTGAGTTATAACTGATCAGCAGTCAATGGTAGCATTATTTGTAAGTATCTTCTGAAAATGCAAGAAAATATCAACCATTTAGAATGACTGACCCAGAATCTGTATTGTCATTCCCACAGGACTTACGATTATAAACGTTTGTATTCACTTCGGAAGTTGTTTCTGTTGAATGCAAATATTCAATATTGGGTCTTTTAAACAGTCCAGCTAATCCTCCATTATAAGCCAGTGCTGTTCTTCAAGTTAATTGAGTTCAGTGATCAAGGGGAATTTGGGACCTATTGTTGAGAAACACTAAGCATCTGTAAATCCTCCGAAATCTTATGGGAACTGCAGATATTCACCACTTCTGAATTAATATCTTAGAATGACTGTTAAGCAAGGGACATGTTAATTTTTTAGAATTAACTTTCATAATTTTATTTTGTTCTTTCTTTAAGCAAATCTAAACCAGCTCCACAGATTTCACCGAGTAAGTCTGTGGGAGGAGAGTTTTGTGTCGCTGCAGTTTTTGGATCGTCAAGGTCATGGTTTGCAAACAATCCTGGTCTGAAAAGAGAAAAAGGTTGGTATATTAAAAAAATAGGCCTTGCATTTAAATTTAAATTCTTTATTTGATTTTTCTCATTTTGTGATAACTTCTGAGTAGGTGGTGCTTATCTGTAGATTTTAAACTCAGTGACAGTGGAGATTTTTGGGAACATGGTTGGGGTGCTTTTGGTAAATAGGACAATTTTAAAGAAATTTTAATTAGTTAAATAAATCATTGATCTTTTATTATGATACAATGACAGAAAACAAACTTCGTTAGTTCAATCCAAAGCTACTGTGTGAAGTTTCATGAAAAAGCTGTGAAGTAAAGGTGAGACACCCTTGCTAAAGCAAATGTACAGACATATGTTTGGCAATGTGTAATTACCTGAACACAACATAGTGAGAAACTCTATTCCACCTTCTCTTATATGAGATATTTGTGTTTGTTTTTTTTTAACCAAGGGGAAAATTGTGTGCTTTGTACAATTTTCTTTTTGTTTCTCTAGCCCTTTCACTTCTAATTCACATTTTTTACTTCAAACATATAAACACAAGAGACTTAAAAAAGTGAGTAGTTTACTATTTCTGTAAACATTTTTTCTGTTTCTGCTGTGCTATTGCAATAAGATTTTCGTTCTTCTTGCAAACAGATCAATCAAAGCAGTTTGTAGTGGAGTCGTTGTATATTATCAGTTGTTACGGTAGCCTGGTGGAGCATGTATTGGAACCCCGTCCGCTCAGCACTGCTCCGAAGATTAGTGATGACACACCTTTGGAAATGATGACATGCCCAAGAGCCAGCTGGACTTTGGTTAGGTAGCTCATTCCTTTTTCTTCTTTTTTGTCCAGAAAATGATGATCAGTTTTTTGGGTGGGGTTTTTTTTTGGTTTTTTTTTTTGAAGGGGTGAATGAACTGCTTCATGATTTTCACCTACATTTTTATCTTAACGTTTACCTTTAAGACTCTGAAAGTTTTCTATTGAAAGAAGGGACTCCCAATAGCAAATTCAAGCCTACCTTTTCATATAGTTCTGTTGGTGCTTACGTGTCAGAATGGGAGCTAAACATTTAAATACTTCTATAGGTGTGAAGCTACATGAACATGTTAACAGATTAGTGATTTTAAATGATCAGATTATAATTTAGCTTTTTATATCAGGACTAGAAACAATTATTTTAATAGTGTTAAAGTACAGAATTCTGCCGTGAGACATGAGTGAGGTTTCCACAAGCATTGCAAAGATTTAGGTGAGTTATCCTGTAAGTAGCTGAAGGTAGCATTTCTTAAGACAGTTGAAGAAATTATTCCTGACATGTGGAAGAAAGTAGACAAAAATTGATGAGAAAGTGTTGTCAGTGCTTTTGACGTTTTAAAATATTTTTCTATCGATTTTTCTTGTCTCCTATATTCCTTAGTGCTGCTTATGGCTGGCCTAGATTAATCAATACTTGATTTACCAAGCTATTTAGGAATGGCCCACCCTAATTAAAATTACAACACAGACTTCTAGACCATTATTGTTGAAATGAGTAGGTTGTAATGGAATTGAAAATTCTAATTGGATCAATAGTCCATAACTTTACACAGCTTTATTTTCACAGTTTGTAAATGGTTGATGACTTTACAGTACCAAAGCAATGCTAGTTAACAGAACAAAAAAGTTCCCAGGCTTCTGTTGTGTGTTTATATGACGTCAGCATGACACACAATGGTCCTAAATGTATTTACCAACTTGATCTAAACCGCCTTCATCATTTTTTTGCGCAATACACGCTGCCGTCAACAAACAAGTATTGTCTTTGTCTCACAATCTGTGCGATTTGGTCATGCTGCTCAACTGCCTGTGGTGTACTGCAGTGTTTGAACAAGCTAATTTAAATAATTACAAACATTTTGTGAGCTTGTATAGATAATTACACGTGATGACAGAAACACTGATTTACATTCTCTGTATTAGCTTAAATATTAATAGTCTTGTGTTTTACCTCAGAACTCCTCAGTGGAATGAACTCCAACCACCATTTAATGCAAACCATCCACTGCTCCTGGCTGCAGATGCCGTACAGTACTACCAGTATCTTCTGGCTGGCTGTAAGTAGCTGACAACTTTTTGTCTTATGTGCACGTTTTAAGGCGAGTGTGACTTTCTGAGTTGGTTTTTCAACCTGCATTTACTTCAGTGACATGTTCTATCCCCAGATAGGGCTTCACATAACCAACTATATTAGTAATAGTAGAGTAGCGAGCGTAGTTTGTTTTTGATATGGATCAAAGTTGTGAGGCTATCAGATAGCCAAAATGTGAGTGCTTGGCAGGCCTTGCAAGTGTGACTCACTGGATCCCCTAAAGTCTTCAGGGTTTCTTCACCTCATTTCTTCTCATGCTTTTAGCCTCTTCCTCTCGTGAATTCAATACTCAGTGACAAGGGATTGCGTCTGCATTTTCGCTCTCCCCTGGAACCCTGGTCGCTGGGCTACTTCCAGCCAGAGTCTCAGACAGCTGCTTCCCTCGGGAGCCTTGGCATCGCTTCCAGGGACGGCTGCCCACCTGCCATGTCCTGTGTCTTATCCAGCCACATTATTCACAGGGAGCCAATACACAAGGCATTGCATATTCAGAAACATGTATATATCTATACCTTTAGATACATGGTGTGTGTAAATATTTTATATGTATATAAACCCATGTATTTTATATCGGTTTTACAGATAAATTTATGTTGGTTTATATTTTGACAATTCAAAAAGGAGAAGAATATTAACAGTGAGTGGCAAGTCTCTTTTTTATCTAGGGTGTAGTCAAGATCAACGTGATGTAACAGTCAAAGTTTCACAAGAGAGCAACTCTTGGCATATGTAAAGGTACTCATGGGGAAACTAGACCCTCTGCACAGTCATCAGTGCAGCTAACGCCAGCATGTTATGTGACACAGGCATTTTAAAATGCAGAAAGTGGACATCTGGGCCAAAAGGCAGCGTGTCTGAATGTGACTGGTAAAAGCGACGCTGGCACCAGATTAGACCTGTTGCTTCTACCTGTCCATCTGTTGCATGTGCTCAGCGCTCCAAATGTTGTGGAAACCTACAGGATTAGGGTCTTCCTTTTTCGGTGCTGCATGGAAAAAGGAAGAAAACTCAGAAGGTAGAAAAGATTATGAAGGAGTAATTAATAGCCCACCACGCTGTTCCTTGCTAGATTCCTGCGTTATTTGACTTAGAGGTATGAGAGTTCTGCTTTGAGATAAAAGGTCGTTGTAAGGATGTATTTTGGGTTGTACAATATTTTACTATACAAATACAGATCACTATTTTCAAATGAGTATGTCTAAAATCAGGTGTGCAAGCCTATACTTAAATTTTCAACTAAATATTTTGAAGCATTGAGTACAATCAGGTCAACAAATATATTTGTAATTTATACTAAAGCCCTTAATAGATGCTATTAACTATAGAGCATAGGTCTAATTTCATATTGTAGTTGAAGGTAACTGCTGCCACACAGTCTGCTTATGTTGCCAGTAATTCATTCTGATATTTACATTTTTATCCATTGCTTATGCACCTGTTGCCGATGATGACGTTAAATAACTTTTATGATATGAAGGTAAAAAAAAGGCAAAAAGGCTTGTTCACAGAAACTGCAGTGTTTCAATAAGTCATGTTTAGCTAGACGTATTTGCAAGGGAAAACATAAGCTGTTTCCTGCTGCCAAGGAGGTGGAGTTAAGACACTTTTCCTTTAATATATATCCTCTTGGCCTGTTAGTAGTTAAAGTCTCTGCGTAAGACACAGCATTAGGATAAAAGGATACTGTCCATTGCTGCATGCATTTGTTGTTCTTTAGGGCTGTCAAGGCTATTGCTCTGCAGAATTGTCTAACCAGACTATCAAACGTAGCGTCTTCAGGGAAAAGAGCAATACTGAGAAGTCTTGAAACAGTCTCCAAAACTAGTGTTAATTCACAAACACTACCTAGGTTTGTGAGGCCTTGCAGCTTGCCTGTGTGGGCCAGCTTTCCTTCCTTCCCCTCCCCTCACCCTCCCCAAATTCTCTGCTCTAGTTGTAGATGTCTTTATCATCCACACTGTTTTCAGCTATTTCCCCTGCATTTTCTCAAGCATATAAATATATAAATTATTGTATGTAGTGTGCAGTTATTGCAGTATGGGTCCAAGAGCACAGAATGCTGTCTGGAGAATTTTGGACACTATGTAGAAGTAGTTTGCTTTTTAGTTTCTGTTGAAATGAAAAGCCATGTATTGCATAGACATGGTCTGAACAAAAGTCTTTCTGTGAGCATCAATGCTTATATACACATACCACATTTGTCCCACATACTGAAGTCAGGGATGGATGTGGTTCACTCTGTGTATTTCATTAACAGCTCAAATAATATGCATTTCAAATGTTTTTGTGTGGGAGGCTTCTTAAAGGAAGAAGAACGAGTGGTAGCTAAATTCCAACAGAATAATGAACTTGTATTATTTGAATTCCAGTGAAGAATTTTAATTCAGGTTTTAATTCACATAATGGAAATTCATTAAGATGGGTGTGGAATGTGAAGAAAAATAGACTAATAAACTAAATAGACTGATAGGCAAAAAAGAGTCTAGAGAACATAGTAAAAATGGCATTAGTGGCAATTGTGTATATCTGATCTTCTTTCAAATTTTATTTGTCTTCTGGATTTATTCTACCTGAGGCTACTCAATGAAGTTTCTGGAAAAATGGAGTCAAACCAGGATGCACACAAAAGAGTTCAAGACACCTGTTAGCTTTGACTCTATTGAATACATGCTAAAACGAAGTTATCTGGCTCTGCTTACCTGCAGTAATGTAATGGGTTGACATTAGCTGAAGCCTGTGGTTTGATGTGCTATCACTTCCGTCAGTAAGTTTAATTGCCAGCAAATGGCTAAATAGGGGTTTAGGGTGAATGTTACATCTGTCTGCCACGTTAGTGGTAAGAGGAATTCTGGCGCCGTTTCAGGGTCACTATTTGTATCTGTCTATCAGAGGTAGAATACAGCAGTTTCTCTCAGTTTCTGTATAGCATTTCTGCCAATTGTTTGGCTCCATTAAGTGTGCAGGGGAAATAAAAGCCTGAATGACCAAGTCACAAGGGGGTATGGATAGACCCTTTCTTTGTCCACACTCAGAACATTGCATTAGGTCTCATTATCCATTTATAATAAGTGACCTTTGCCCCCTGGGTCATTGAAAAATACTCAGTGTACTTTTTAGCACAGAGTACCTCTGTCAGCAGACGGGCAGAACAATGAAACGTCTGGCGGTCTGGTTGGAGGGCTATGCTGTGCAGGTTTTCATAAATATGCAGTCTGATGCCAAAACACGGGCCCAAAATCTTCCTTAGTCTCTGAAAAGTATAAAGTAGGTCAGTGAGTTCTTCTGATAAAAAGAAGATATTCTAAAAATACTGCATTTAGTTATTTACACATAGTTCAGCCTTTAATATTTTTAAAGAATCTTAAAGTTATTTTTGCACTAATAAGGAAGTAACAAGGAACCATTGTTTGAAGAAATATTTTGTACAATAAGTGTCCAAGACCTTTATCCCAGGGGTATTTGGAAGTGGATTAGCACAGCTGTTTCATTGCTTTGAGGGCATCTGCGACATCTGCTGCAGAAACCTGGATCAGAGTACGCAGTTCCTATCTACCTGAGCGCTTTATCACGGCCACGGCTGGTGCAGAGACGTGAGAAAGTGGGTAGCGAGAGGCTTGGACCTTTCTGTAAGTTCATGGCTTGAAAGTGAACTTGCATGTTAAATTCCACAACCTGCTGGCCTGCAGGAAGCATTGGTATTCTGCTCCTGGCTTTTTGCAGTTGGTCAGAGCGAAAATAACCAGTCCCGAGAATCTCCTCGCCTTCTGACAGAGCAGATTTCAGACTTACTTTTGTTCTCCTAAGAGTTCATCCTGCAAAGCCTCGGATGTATTACAGTCCTCAGGTCTTCAGTGCTGGCTGTTAGGTGCCAGATATTTCGCTCCTACCCTTCTCAGATTTAATATATAATATTTTACCTTATTTGTGTCTCTATTCCCTCTTTATTTGCCTGTGTTCTGAGCAACTCCTAAATCTAATTGCAACAGAGGAAAGAAGTGTCAGTCACATTTTATTCTCCTAGATGTTTTTCCTATAATGTAAATACAATCACCTGGTACAGTCGGACTCTTCTAGCAGCCCTGGTGGTGGGAGGAGAGTTGTGCGAGGTGCTGCATGCATACGTAGGAGGGTTTCTGGTGTCCACAGGAACTTGCAATGTGAGAGACTTGGCTTTCATCAGACAATTGCCAAGTTTCATCATTACCTCTTCTTTACAGGCTACTTGCTTCCTGCTGTTCAGTATTTAGGAATTAAGACGCTTCTGGTAGTATAAACTCTTCAGGCATGCTGTTAAGATGTGCTTTTCATGTCCATGACCATCGTCTGTTTGTGTTCAGTTTTTTTCTAACATACTTTTCTCCCTACTACCATAACCCAAAGTCTTATATATTTGATTGACTTAACTCGTGTTTACTTTGTCTGACTTCGGTACTTTCCTTTTTTACATGTTTGTATTAATAGAGACATGTGCATAATGGAATTGCAATGAAAATAGGTAACCCTACATGACAGCAGAAAGTCTTACAACCTCATTTCATACTTCTTATTTTTTTCTTCCTTACTCCTCCTGTTGAATTCATTTGTTCATTGCACTGGAGGAATGGACTGTAGCTGAGATATGTGAAATGTGGACAATTAACACGTTAATGAAAAAAAAAAAGTGAGATCAGACGACAAACTGCCCAAAAAAGGTTTGGAATAAAATGCGATATGATTTCTCTCCTCTGGCTCTGGAAAGGGCACCTTCATATTCCAGCCAAGAGTTTTGGCTCATCAGGACCAATTTTATGGAGACGACCTGCAGTTGTCAGAAGCAGGCCAATGACAAGAATTAATATATTAACTGGTATGCAGAACTCTTTGACAAATTGCGTACTAAATACATCAAAATTGATTGGACATTCTGTGTTTAAATTGACAAATGACTGCATTAGGGGAAGGAGGGAAATCCATTAATTACAGCTG